CCATTATAGTTTTGATTTGTATTTCTCTAATAATTAGCAATGATGAGCAATTTTTCATGTGCCTATTTAGAAGATGTTTCTTAAGATTGTTTTTTCTCCTTATTTGACTATTATATTCTAAACATGTTTGTGGTTCAATTTAAGTATTTGTGGTTCAAGTCGCTAAAAAGGAAGAAAGAACATCTTACATTTAGGCTCCCATCTTTGGATAATTACTCATCCTTACAGGAAAAGATTTTCTTTAAAAGATTTGGGGTTTTGGAGAAAAATCAACCTTCATGGGCAATTTTTTTTGAGGCCATTGTGGTGGTTGTGTAGGCTTGGCTTTGCTTATGTGAAACAGTGTATTTATTGACTAAATGCCTTCAAATTTTGTAAATGCATCATCCAGTGTACTTCCTTCAGTTGTTTGGAGTATACCATTAAGTTTAAATATAAATTGATGAGATTCTATTTCAATGTCTGTTGTAGATCCTGATCTGGGTAGAAAATCAGAGGAGGTGCCATTTTTGTTTAGACTTGGTTCCCCATGTAAGAGGGGACTGTTTTCAGTGTTTACTGTTTTCAGTGTCCTTGATTTTATTTTTATTTATTTCTCTGCCTGTGCTGCATGGCTTTCAGGATCATCACACCCTGACCAGGGATTGAACCTGGGGCCTTGGCAGTGAAGGCATTGAGTCCTAACCACTGGACCAGTAGGAATTTTTTTCTTATTTTTTTAGTGTCCTCAATTTTATAAATGCACCTGTGCGTGTTGTCAAATGCACCTCACTGAACTAAGACTAGACTCTTAATTCTAATATGAACCGACAAGACTGTGTTTCAATGTCAGCTTTAAAAGAGCAAGATCCAGGTCTGGGAGAACGTTGGGAAACAACCCAAAGACTTGTTTCAGATCTAAGGTAGGAAGATAAAGGTGATGTCCACCAGGTAAAGACCCAAGGGAGTGAGTTCACTTAAAAGTTCCTTGAGGTTTGGAAAATAATGGAACTAAAACAAGCAAATGTAAACAAAGATACATTTCTGGAGTTGGCAGTCATTTGATTACCGTATTTTAGTTTTGAACAACTATCATTCTCCTGTTTTTCTTCATTAAAAAGATATTTATATTGTAGGGGGCATCTATCACCTTTGCCTGCTCAACATCCACTCCCTCCTTCTTCAGTAACAATTTCTCACTGTTTGTCTAATGCCTTTTATTTGAGCAACACTTTGATAGCAGGATTACAGTGCAACACTTAAGACCAGGGCTCTGGAGCCAGGCTGCTTGGGTCTTATTCACTCATACTTCATGTGTGCTTCTAAACCATTCCAAATTTTGGTCTCCTCTACAAAGTAAGAATAGAGATATTACCTACTTCATATAATTGATGTGAGGATTATAAACATGGAAAAGCACTTAGAGGAAAGCCTGATGCATAATGTGATCTCAGTGTTAGTTATTATCACGAAATTCTTTTATCACAATTAATTGCCTTAGGGACTTTATAAACATAGCCTCTATCACTGGGTGTGGCTATTGAAGCCTATGAAAGGCTGATATATATATTTCCCATTACAAATAACTTGACTTTTTTTTTTTTTTCTGAGAAAAATAAAGGATTATTTCTTTGGAGATAAGTAGTTCTACGAGGACAGGTCTTCCTACTGATCATCTGTATATTTTTTAATACATGTTGTTCCCCTTCAATCTGTAGATTAAGGTCTTCATTTCTGGAAAGTTTTCTTGAATAATGTCTTGAAATATTTTTTGGTCCATTACTGCAGTCTCTTCAGAAGGCACACCATTTATGAATACATTGAACTTCATGTTTCATATAACTTTCTAGCTCATCTTTGCCCATTTCCATTTTATTTTTTCACTATTCTTGTTTTCTATATCCTTTAAGAAGTTTTTTGAAGTCAATTTCCTTGTTCCATTTCCAATGTAGTCTTTATATCTGCGATTTTATTGTTTCCTGATTCTTTCCTGAGCATTCCAGCTTCAGTTTTAATTCCTTTTACCATCTTGCCCTGTATTCCATGAGCAAGTTCTTGTCACATACAATTTTAAAAAATAAATTTTGAGGGAATTCCCTGGTGGTCCAGTGATTAGGGTTTTATATATTCACTGCTGAGGGCTTGAGTTTGATTCCTAGTTGGGCCAAAAAAAGAAAAAAGAAAAAAAGAAAAATTTAGCAACAGACTTGGAACTTGAGCCTAGTTTCCCAGACTTTCTAGTTCTTTCTACCACCCCCAGCTTGTGCTCCTGGTTTATCATTTTAGGTACTAAAGACTGTCTTTACCACTGCACTACCTGGGAAGCCCCAAAGGCTGAATAGAGGTAATTTAGAGATTTTCAGTTATAATCTACACATTTGCTTTAGATACTATATATTTCCCCCACACCACCCACCCAGTTCTGAACCTGGGCCATACAAGCCTGATCTATTGGCAGGTCTGATGGTTGGAAAGAGTTTGATAGGCACAAAATTGGTAAGTCTTTAATGATGAGTTATTAAACAACTTGTTCTTCAGGTTCTTTAATAAAAATTTTAAGGGCTTTAAGGAAATATAAAGACTTGGGACCTAAAGGTTAGTAATTTAGAATATCTAGCAGAGCTTTCTGCAGTGGAGTTCTTAGGGAATGGACAGCTTTTGACTGATAGGTAATAACCAATTGACAATGGGAGCTGGAGTGGAATGAAGAGTTCACAGCCATCATCTAGTCCTCTAAAAAACACGGTAGCTGGAGGACATGGTTATCCAATCAAGGGTCCTCAAGCAAACAGAACTAAGCCATTTACAGGCTAAGGTTTAATCATTCTCAGGGAATGGTGGTTTTGTTTTCTATGGTGGTTCCCAAGGTCAAGATCTCTCATTTAACATGGTGTCCAGTAAGGGAGGAATGACCATGCTAAAGCCAGACTGAATTTGTCTTTGGCATTTCCACCTCCTTCTTTGTGTCATTCCTTTGGTTTGACCTCAACTCCCATCAAACTTTTGATTTTTTTTTTCTCTAGGATCTAGTCCAGTTGAGGATAACTTAGCTTTGAATGAACATCATTATGGAAAATTCAGGGGCTTCCCAAGTGACGCTAGTGGTAAAGAACCTGCCTGCCAATAGAGACCTAAGAGATGGGAGTTCGATCCCTGGGTCAGGAAGATCCTTGGGAGGATGCACAGCAACCTATTCCAGTACTCTTTACTGGACAATCCCGTGGACAGAGGAGCCTGGTGGGCTACAGTCCATAGAGCCGCACAGAGTTGGACAAGACTGAAGTGACTTAGCACGCATGCACATGGAAAATTCAAAAGAAACAGACAGCTCCCTGTAGCACTTGCAACAGTACAAAACTTCTTTAGCATCACCACTTCTTTAGTTCTATGGACAAAAGCTGAGACTGAGGATTGTTATTGTGCACTCTTGTGGCACAATAATCTGTAGGCAAGGAGCAAGAGTGAAATAGGGAAGAACTGGATAAGAAGAAGTGCGAGGACGTGAAAAGAGCGAAAAAGGATAAGCAGATGCATATGGCGGGCACGGGGAGAATGTCCCTTGGGATCTTAGTCATGCCTGGCTCCTACTCTTCTTACTGCCTAAGCTTTGACTCCAATAGACGATAGTACAGTTCTTCATATTTCTTATTGAAGTGGTGCTGTTTGCCTTTGGTGACAGGCCCTAACTTTGAGAGGTTCCTTAGTAATTCACGGTGGAAGTTGGGTTTGTCGATTTAGTCAGTTTCTAATAGCAAGATCCCCTATTTGCTCTCCCCAGCACGGAGAGCCTTAAGCTAACAGCACCTGAAAGACAGAACCCAGCATGCAGATGTGGGGGACTGGGCAGGCCAGGTTATCTTCCCACCTCCTTGGGTGAGGGAAAAGGTAGAGGCCGGGGCAGCAGAGTCCAGACGGCTTCTGGGAGGGCAGTAGGCCTGCATCCAGCCTGTCAGAACGAGAAAGAAGGTGCTAGACAAGTTTTCAGGCAGCAGAATCCTCCCCCCTCCACCTTTCCACAGTGAAATTGGAACAGTCCTGGGTAAGTGGGACAGGTGTCAGAAACAAGACATAAGGTTGTTTATCCAACTCAGTCGACGTACCCTCAGGGAGTGATAGTCTTGATACGAAGAAAACTACAATTTTTTGAAACAAGAGTCCCCGCAGGTTGAGGATGGGCATCCGCACGTGGATCGCCCTCTGACAGGTGGACACGGAAGGAGAATGGGCAGTCCGAGTGCAACTCGAGGATGGAAGGCCGGGCGGCGGCGGGGTGGAGAACGCTCTGTCCAGGTACATGACCTAAGACAGGGTGCCCTACTAAACCCACCGCCGCCTCCGGGCTTACAAGGGGCAACCCTCCTGGCGAGGAGGTGTGGGGCAGAGCTTCCCTTTCCTCTAAGCCTCTAGGTTTCGGCCGATGGAGAGACGGAGAGACCAGGAGGAGTCGAGCTGGAGCGAAGGCCGGTCCAGGCCCGCCCAGGCCCGCTCCAGCCCCAGGCCCGAGGTAGCCTGGGCGGCGCACGGAGCCCGAATCCACCCGCCGCCTGGCCGCCAGATAACCCCGGTACTTAAGCTCCCCAAGGGAAAACGAGCCAGCGCCTGGCACGTCCTGCGCGTCCCCGGCTCCAGGGCTCCCGGCTCTCTCCTCGCGGCGCGCCCCCTTCCCCGGCCGTAATTGGACTCGAGCGCCGATTTTGGTGCAATGCGAATTAGCTCCAGTCGCCAAGTCGTGAGGCTCCGGGAGCGTCAGCCACCGGCCGGCGCCGCGCGGCCCGAGTCAACGCCCACCTCCGCCAGCATCCCCGCCGCCGCCTTTCGTCGCCATAACAACCGGCCCCCGCCCGGCCCCGCGCCGTGCCGGGACGCCCGGGGAGGACGCCCCCGCCCTTGGCGCCCCGCATCCGGGCGGCCTCGCACCCCCGCCCCCTTCCAGCCGCGTCCAAGCGCAGCGCAGAGGCGCCCCCTCCCGCCGCCAGGGAGGAAAGCCCTCGCGCCCCCGAGACTAGACTTTGCAGAATTAATTAGGCAGCCCCGGAGGGCCGGGGTCCTTCAGCAAGCTCCCCGACTTCCGCACCTGCCCGGGTTCCCTGCACCTGCCCTTTCCCGGGCTCCAGGGCGCGTGCGGCGGCGGGGAGCGTGCGGCGACGCGCGGGTGCCCCCGCGCCCGGGGCAAGGCGCTCCCGGGGAGCAGGACATCCCCGAAGGCGGCGGCGCGCGGGAGGCGGAGAGGCGGGAGGCGGCCGGGGAGCCCGGAGAGGGCGGGGAGCCCGCGGGAGGAGGAGGGGGGAGGGAGCAGGGCGGGCGGCGGGGAGGGAGGAGAAGGGAGGCAAGAAAGTAGCAGAAAGTGAGGCTGGCAGCCGGCAGCAAAGGAGCCGGGCGAGCGGCGGCAGGAAGTCTGTGCCCGAGACGCGCAGAAATAAGAGCCAGGGAGGGACCGCGGCGGCGAGAGTGAAAGAGGAAACTGCAGAAGAGGAAGCTCTGCCGCAGCACAAAGTCTCCTCGGCTCCCGCGCCGAGCATCCCCGCGCCGCCCGCCCAACCCTCCTGGACCGGCGCGCCGCCGCCCGCGCCTCCGCCGCACCCGCGCCACCGCCCCCCGGCGCCCCCTCCTCGCGCGCCCACCCCGGCCCCCTGCGCCCCTGGTCTCTCTGTCTCGCCGCCCTCCGCGCACGCCGCCCTCGTCTGCCATGGCCCGGGAGAACGGCGAGAGCAGCTCCTCCTGGAAAAAGCAAGCTGAAGACATCAAGAAAATCTTCGAGTTCAAGGAGACCCTCGGAACGTAAGTGGGGACCGGGGAGAAGAGGGTGGAGGTGGCAGCGGCCGCGGGTGCAGAGGTGGCTCTCGCTGCCACCGCCGCCGTCGCCGCCACCGCGGCAGGAACCGGAGGGTCGCCGCGTTCTCATTGTCCAGTTCTCGGCTCTGCGGAGCCCCCCGCGTGCCCGCCGCGTGGGTCTGCGCCCCGCGTGCCCGAGTGGGCGCCGCGCGGGGGCGGGGAAGGCCCTGGGATTTCGGGGACAGTCGCAGGCGGGCGACTTTTCACTTCCCTGACACCGCCGCCCTCTCGACTCATTCTCCCCACGCGTGACTGTGGGCTGAGCATGGTGGATATTCCTGTTTACTGGCTGCGTGCGTCTACTCACCGTGTGCACGGGCGCACCGTGTCGGCGAGAGACGTGGTCACGAGGAAATCGGCTCCGGGCATTCCCATTTCTGTTCTAACATCTTGTAGTCTTAAAGAATTGACATCCGCACGTACTCGATGTAGGCAAGATTTTGGATGGCCGCGCGATTAGGGAAGGGAGGAATTTCGCAGTGTGCAGGGTCACGTGTGGGCTGAGCCTTACCTGAGCGTCAGTCCATTTCACCAGGTTCAGCAGCACACGCTGGAGTGCGGCTCGCCAAGGAGGGTCTGCGAGGGTCTCTCTTCCCGCGGTTCCTCTCCAGGGCTGTGTGTGGTCCGAGGCTGGTGGCTGATCTCAAGAAAGCAGAAATAACCAGAAGTCGATGTCAGGAAGGCTCAAGCATGTGCTGCTCCATTCAGCTGCTGTTCCTTTTCTGCCCAAGAGTTGGTTTTTGTTTGTTTTGTTTCCGAGCGCCTCAGAATAGGTAGGGAGGCTGATAGTGAAAGAGGATCGGTTGCTGCTGGAAGAACCTGGAGTTGGAATTATTGCTTCCCCTCATGTGATCAGTATGTAAGCATGTATATTCACACACATACGTGTTGTATGAGCTGAACCTTTTGCAGGGGTTCATGGAGGTGTTGGTCAAGCGGGTAAGAGAAAGAGGAGGTGTTTCATAAGACAAATTAGGGTGCTCTTCTTTCCTGCCTTCTTAATCCCCTTTTACTTGTCATTGCGGTTGGTTTGCTTTTCCAGAACCATATTTTCAAACACAGATTGTTTTGTGCCCCATACTCAGGGTCCACTGAGTTCGGTCATTTTCCCTCCCCCACCCCAATATCTGAAGTGGGTTCCCCAAAGCCAAGTTGTGAAGCATCCCTCCATGCTTCTGATCCTGGGGATGCACACTTACCTAGAATGAGAATAGGGTCTCCCAGATTTTGTGCTCGCTTCAGGGACCCAGTCTACCTGTGGGTGTAGACTTTTTGTCTTTGTTGGAAAGAAAACAGAAAGAGCTTTGCATTTTTATAGAGAGGGGCTTGGGGCTGCCTCTTAGCACGGGCCAGTTAAGGGGTGAGATTTGGTCAGAACTTTAGAAAATTACCCTTGAGGTTTATTTGGGTTTGGGGGAGTGACTTTGAGATGGTTAAGTTGCTGAGAAAGAAGAAGCGTGTCCTTTGTGGTCATGCTGAGAATGCTCATGTGGCTGAGGATGAGGGGGCTGGAGAGAGAGGAGTCCTATGGTAGGAGAATGCGTTGCTTGGCACATCCTCACCGGAACTCCTGGAGCTGGTCCCTCTGCCTGCAGCTTCCAGGCTGACAGATGCAACCTCCCCTGACTGTCTCCTGCTCCCCAGGAGAGCCCTGAGGCTGTACCTCTTCAGTGGTCAGAGATGCTCAGCCCGGTGAGCTGTGGCTTCACTGTGTGGCTCCTGCTGTGGTCGGCACTGTTTGAGGATGACTGTGGTGGTTCCACTTCTGGGCAGGATGGGGACTTGCTTGATGCGTGCCGGAAAGAACAGAGAGCTCTTGCAAAACAGCTTCTTGGACTCTAGCCACGTTCCCCATAAACCTGGGGATGGGTCTCTGTTAGGATTCCAAAGCTTTGCCTTCTGTCTTGGAAAGGATTCTTTGAAAAGGAGCTTCAGGCTATGGTTCCTTCCTGCTGGCAGGAGTTCTCGAAGAGCAAAACACAAACAATAAAATGATCGAAATGTTTTCACTCAGTAGCATGGTGATAATAGTAGAGGTAATTATAGGTGACTTTATTAAATGAATACCAAGTACCAGTTGATATCCTAAGTACCTTATGGGTATTAACTCATTTTATTCTCATGATAACCTGATGAAGTAGGTATTTACTAGTATCCCCACTTGGCAGATGGGAGGACTGAGGCAAAGAAAATTAAGTGACCTGCCAAACAGGAGCTACTTATTAAGTGGAGCTGATGCTCAAATCTAGGAGAACAACTTATAATTATGCATATGGTATTGAGCCACTCTGTGGATTAGTTAACAGCAAATGTTAATAATTTGACTAACTTTTGTATTTGGGAAGCTAATTTTAACATTAAAGAATTATATTAATTTTAATATTAAGTTAAAACATAATTATGGGGTAACCTGTTATCCAAACATGTAACTTTTGGATTATCAACATCTTTTTGTCTCTTGGACTTTCTAGAAGTGGTCCAAAATTCAGGGTTCCTGATTCCCCCAGGGCCAAGTCCAGCACCTTTAGCTTGAGTCTAAATAGATGTCACTTCTGCTCCTATCAGTGTGGATTTTGAGTTTGGGGTCTTGTTTGCAGTGAAACCTAGCATCAGCAGGGGCTTCAACACTAACAATTGGAATTCATTTCCAGGGTACTCTGCAAGCCCAATCATTTTGTCACACTTTTACCATATGCCTTTAAGATCCTGAGGCAGGAAAGCCCTTACAGGAGACAAGATTGTCAACTATTAAAATGCCTTTGAAATGAAGCATTGTAAAGACCCAAGGAGCACTCACTTGGCCAGACCTTGTAATCTGATATTTGGCTGCCTGGTTCAGGTACCTTTCCATGCGGAGCAGAAGGTTTACTGTTGAAGGCCAAAGGGTCAAGCCATTTAGATTATGTAGTTAGCAGGGCCTTGCTGGAGGGTGGGGGGCAGATGAAAGTGAAGGCTGTCCTAGAGGGTAGGAAAAGAGCTGGAGGAAGCAAAGGACAGTGTAGGGGAAAGGACCCTTTGGGTAGTTTGGACCTGGGTTTTCTGATACACCCCTGAGCCAGGTCTCTGGAGAAACCTCTCAACTTGTGGCCTTCAGCGTGTCTTCCTTTGAAAGGAAATCCCAGGGCCTAACCCTACCTCCAAACAAGGTGGGAAGGCTTAAATACTGTTTATTAATCAATGCCATGTTTTCAGATCCCTGGTACCCCAAATAAATGAGGCCAAGTAAACGTTGTGTAACAGCAATGAAGAGTGGTAAACATTTCTGTGGCGGTTTGCTGAGGCCATTCAGGCCATCTCTACCATAGGTAGATGTCTTTCCACGTCTTCTAAACCAAGAAAATGAAAATAGGCCATCTGAAGAAGGATATGGATGGGAAGAAGGCTTTGACCATGGTGTGCCGGAATTACCCCAGACTCATGGAAGTGGCTTCTGTAATTTCCACACCATGAAAGGTATCTGAACAGAAGAGATCTTCATAGTTGGCAGAGAATGGTTCTTCCAATACACCTCCTTTCCCCTGGAGTACAGAAATGGCACGTCCTAGAAAATAGACATTCATCTCTGCAGGGTATGAATACATGCTTTTCTTACAGACCAAATGTTTTGTGTTGAAATAATTGCTGTTTGAGGGGGCTGGAGCGGGCGCCAGGGAGGTCTTGGGCCTGTGTTCAAAGTCTGGCTCAGCCACTGGTCAGGTGTGTGGCCTGTGGGCTACTTGGTCATTTGTCCACATGACTGGTCTTAGCTTCATCACCTGTCGCATCAGAGGGGCAGAGAAGATGGGATGATTTTCAAGTGCTCTTACAACCCTAAGGTTTTTTGGCTTGTCTGGGTAAGAGAGGCATTCACTATATTTTTTGGTAGCTTTCATGTGTAGCTAGAACAGCTTGGTCCATTTGGAGGGACATTTTTATGCCCAGGGTAGTAGCAAAGTGACAGAGCTCAGGACAGGAATTCTTACCCCACTTGATGTCAGTAGCACAATGTCTTTGCTTCTTCATGAAACGAGTGCCTGCTGGGTGCTGCTTTAGGAAGAGTATAAATAGAAATTTCTGTGAGGCCAGCACTGTCTTTCCCCACTAGTATCATACTTACACGCCTTTTTCTGAAATTGCTCAATCAGTACACCTGTTGAGGACACGTGATTGACTTATCTGAAGGCCTGGGTAGAAAACAGACTCACCTGTTCTTTTCGGGTTGTAGAGGGGTGGTGTATGGATATTGGGGGAGGGGGGGATTGCAGATCTCCTCCTGGTGATTTGTGTATTTGACTGGCTGTTTTGAGAGTATTTGTTCTGGGACTACTCACAGTAGAGTCTGGGAGAAGCATTTGAAAGAATGCTCCTCCAAGAGGAGCAGAGAGAGGGGTGGGCAACCCTGAGAGTTCTCTCAGAGGGTATTCCAGATGCTGTATTGGCTAGAAGTTTGCCTGTCTCAGCCCTTTGTTTGAGGCACGAGATAAATTCAGCCTCTTGTACATTTAAAAATATTGATCAAACACCTGCTATATTCTAGGCACTGATGGGGGTGGGCACAGCAGAGAACAGGCAGACACAAATGCCTGCTTTCCTGGAGCTCACATTTCTTTCTTATTCTCTGGTGAGGAAGCCAGAAAATTAAAAATATGAATCAGGAAAGTGTAGAGTATGTTACATAGTAGACACGTTAGGAAGAGAAATAAAGCAG